AAAAAAAAAAAAAAAAAAAAGAGTAAAACACACGCAGTAAAAACTGGAAACGCTAAGACCCCTTTCCCAGTTCTTATACTGAGTATTAAATCTGAACTAATCGACTGAGTATTATTTTTATATCAAGCGTAATAATATTAATAAATGGATATAAATTAAAACGCGAGACAGAGAATGGGTTGAATCGTACGCGAAAACCGAGAGAGAACTATTGTAAAGACAGCGGATGAGAGATGCGTTTTCTTTTTCTTCTTTTAACTTTTTTTTTTTTTTTTCTATTTAAACACGAATTAAAAAGACTAAAAAGGAGAAGAAGAAAGAAATAAAATTTTAAAGAGAAAGGAAAGAGGAGAAGGAAAACGCATGCGACTAAAGATTGCGAGCGCCCTGATTACAATATTTTGTATACAACCACAATGCGAAGCGAGCGACGAAAGAAAAAAATTGCAAACGAGAGAAGCGACAAAGAAATAGAACGAGAAAGATAAGATAATTAACGATGGAAGATCGTAATGCAAGATCTGATGAATGCCAGAACTTTTTTCTTTTTTTTCTTGCGATACGAAGCTTTGATTGGCCGGAAACTAACTTAAAACAAAAAGGAAAGAAAATTCGATATGTAACGTGGTATTGTACGTTAGTTACATACCTGATGCAGCAATAGAACGACGATGAGGAAATGATTAGAAGAATATATGAATTACTTTTGTATCCGCAGTTATCTATGATAATAAGTTAGTTCGGGTTAAGGCCAGCAGCTGTTGAGATTATTCATGGTTGTGTGTATCATTATAAGTATTTTGAATTGTTGAATAGTAATTAGTGTAAGCGGTGGCTTGAACGGGGCGACGTCCCATGCCCACAGAATGCATCATGAGTAGACGTCGCGTCGTCCAAGTTCGGTCTCAAGTATATTTCAACAATTATCAGATATATACATTTTTTTCTCTTCGTCATCCAAAATATTTAAAACTTTCGTCCCGTACCAATCAATTTTATTTTATTTTACTTGTATTTTATATATACATATGGTATGTATATGTATTTTTTAAAATAATTGTACTTGTAACAAGTCGTGCATCCCACACACAAGATCATTGGGGTCCTTTTCTAATTTATAATTACCGTAAAACACGTTTTCTATTGTCCATGACAGATGAATCTCTAACTTACGGGTCTAATTTTTCAAACTTCGTACTCTTCATATATCTTTTCTATATATGTATACTGTTTTTATCTGATTTCGAAATCATTCTCATTCTCTTTTCTTTTTTCAATCAGAATCATATTTTTGAATTTCTTCTTCTTCTTTTTCTTTTTCTTTTTCTTCTCTATTGAATATTTTTAAGCTATTTATTGAATCGAATATCGCTATGTAATTTGTTAGAAATTCTTTTGATGACTTATTTCCTACATGTCTTTCTTGTCTTTATTTCGAAACTATGCTTCATATGCATACCTGTGACTCTGCCAATGGTTCATTGATGAATTTCTTTAGAAGAAAAAGGAAGATAGAAAAAAAAAAAAAAAGAACAGAGCGAGAATTACGATCACTCAACGTCTCTCTTATTTTTGCACCTACCGCCTAGCTAAGTCAAATAAGTATTGTGTGTACTGTGTTTGTTATTAACACGTTTGCCTTTCGATTCGTTAAAAAAGAAAATTTTCGTTTCATCTAATCTTCTTTTAAATATGTCAAAAATTAACATTTGCTCTTCATCTTTCTTCGTAACACGCAAACGTGACAATGTAACAGACACAGCAGATCGGCGGGCAAAGGACCAAAATGTACAACAACTGCGTTTGTCCATTCTTATGGTTGGTATGATTCGTTAAACGTGTGAAACGAGATCGAAGCTGTAATTGTATTGATGGATTTTTAAGCGATGTTGACAGATTATTTTCGGGGGAGCATCTTATTGCAAGGGCATTGTTGTGATACCACAGATGCAGCTTCATTGAAACTTAAATAAAAAATAATGCGTTAACGATTTGTTGCGATCAATGTCATCATTGACCGCGTGTGTCCGATATTGTACGTGGAATTTAATTTTTTTATATAAAGATCTGTTTAGAAATGAAATATCAAAAAGGAGTTTTTTTTTTTATCGAAAGTCATGTCCGCTTTTTTTTTCATGACACTTTTTTTTATGTAGAACAATTATATTTTACCAACATCTGCACTATCACATCTTTTGTTTTAAATGAATTAAGAGAAATTTTATATATTTTCTTTTTTTTTCTTGACAAATTTTTCTTCGACAGATTGCTTAAACGACAGATGAGCTTGAATTTGAAATTAACCGGAAGTGATCAAGTGAGTCATTTCATTCCTATGCGACATCAAAAAGAAAACAAAAAAAATATATATATATATCTTACATTTTTATAAACAATAAATTAAAGAGAAATATAAAAACGCTTAATTCATATGAAATATTGGAGCATACTGGAACAAATATTGGGACAAACATTATTTATAGATCACTTTCACTTACATCGAAAATAATCATTCTCGCTGTTTTAATTTTTATTGCAATTTAATTTTAATAAGCAAGTCATTTTTCATCCACAAGATCATTATTTTATCGAATTTAATAAGAACAGTTTGTTTTACAAACGAGAAAAAACAAATATTTTATACAATAGTAATTTGACGCACGTAGTACAAAATTTTACTACGTCATTTCCAACCATACTGCGTGTAGTTCGTTCTTCCGCCACTCGCCATTTTGTCCTCAGTGCCTGTGAGCCTGTGTTCCTTGATTTAAAACAGATTTTTCCGATCCGAGTGTTGTTCTTGTCCAAATTAAGGATTTCAAGCGATCGAAAAAGATGAGTTACGGTAGACCACCACCTCGAATCGATGGGATGGTGTCCTTAAAAGTGGACAATCTCACGTACAGAACGACGCCGGAGGATCTGAGACGCGTGTTCGAAAGATGTGGCGAGGTCGGCGACATTTACATACCGAGGGACCGATTTACTCGAGAAAGTCGTGGATTTGCATTTGTCAGGTACATATTGAAAAGAATCTAGTTCTTTTTGTTTGCTATTTCTTAATTCATTTATGTTCTGCTAATTACGATTTATCAATATGACGTCACTTTCAGTACATGTTAGTACGTATTTAGATAACAAAGCTTGTAGCTACTAACAAATATTTTGTACAAACTGTATATATTATCTAATAAATTATTTATGTTATACAGGGTCTGACCTGCGACTCTTGGCCAACCAATTAGATTCTACATATAAAAATGTGTCGGAAAAAAAAGAACAAAAAATTATTTCATTATAATCTTGGTTTTTGAGAACATTGAGTTTGAAAATTTATCAATTATACTTGAATTTGGCTAATTTCATATCAGACAAATGCGAAAAATCAAGAATATTTTACGCGTAAAAATAAATAAAGACATAAAGTAAAATTTTTTTCATTTAAGGCGTAATTTTTAAGAAAATACACTTTAAATGTATTTGAATGTACGTTTCGTTGAAAATTACCTTAAGTACGCACGTCTTTGATCAATTTTCAAACTCAAAAAACGAAGCATTTTGTAAATAAATTTTATTCTACGTTTATTTACTTTGGCACGTAGAATAATCTCTTGTTATATTCTTTTTTAGTCTAGAATTAATTAAATTCAAGCTAATACTCGATAAATTTTCAAACTTTGTTCTTTAAAACGAAGATTTCAATGAAAAAATTTTCTTTCTTTTTGACATAATCTTGCTTGTAGAATCACGTCTCAATTGACCACGAGTTGCGGGATATCTCGTGCGCGCGCGTGTGTGTATTCCATGTATTAGCAATAATGTTTTCACTACTTTCAATTATTATTTAAGATTTTATGACAAGCGTGATGCAGAAGATGCATTAGATGCTATGGACGGAAGGCTGTTAGATGGTAGGGAACTTCGAGTTCAAATGGCACGATATGGACGACCAACTTCACCACACCGAAGTCGTGGCAGTCGTAGGCGTGGAAGGTAATTGTTATAGAATTTTATTATGTATACAATCTGTATTATATACTTATAAAATTTCAAGATTTGTATAATACATACATATAATACATTAAGTATTACTACTAGTAAATAATACTTATAAAAAGTATTTATAAATATTTGAATATTTACGAATCGCAGGAAATGCTAGCAATTAAAAAAAAACGAGAGATTACAAAATAAAAAACTTTTTTTTGTTACATTTACAGATCACGTAGCAGAAGCAGGGATCGAAGACGCTCACGTTCTAGATCGCGTAGTAGATCAAGGAGCCGCGATAGAGACCGTAGGCGTTCGTATAGCCGTAGTCGTAGTCGCTCGCGTTCCGATAGTAAGAGCTCGCGCGGAAAGTCCCGTTCTCGCAGCAAGTCTCCAGATAGGCAAAAAGACAGTCGCTCCAAATCAAGGTAAGTTTTATAATTATAAATCTTGTTTTGTAAAATTTAGTTATAAATTATAAACTTATGATACAAGATGATTTTAATATATTTTGATGATAAATATTCACATGATCTTTTTTTTTCATACAGGGACTGAAGTAATTGAACCATATACAAGTACAACTGTGAACAGATGCACGTGCCGCGAGTGCAGAATAATCATTTCTTGAGAACAAAAAGGTATTCCATTACCCTCTATATCTAGAGCAACACTGTCGCACGTTCACATTTCTTCTGTCACTTACATATTAATTATGACGACGCACTATCTGGGTTTAAAAAAAAAATGAACCTAAAACTAATTTTAATGTAATGTATCTAAACTGTGAGTTTAACAAGCTCACGGAAATTTTCATTTACAAGTTTTCGTAATTATTCTTGCTCTGTTAAGTGATATATTATTTCAAGTAATACTTATTTCTGATCAGAAGAAAGTAAATGTGTTTTTCTGTATACGTGTATGCACGTTGTAGCGACCGAAACAGCTTGTTTTGATCAATGAATTAAAGTTTATTATTATCCTATTAAGAGTTTCGAAATAAATGCTCTAACACTTATGATCTTTCATTTTGCTCTGAAACAATAACTGGAATGCTCTTTTGAAGCTTCAAACAGAGCAGTTGATATTTGAGTTCGTGCATTCTGTGAATAAATAAATAAAAGAAATTGTTATTAATTTGATTACACTGTTCTTATTTTATGTTGAAATATAGCGTGCACAATTTTTAGTACGTTCGATATAAGTGAGTTATAAACAATTACGATTTATTCGTTTCTTTCCGTTTCTTGAGTAGCTGAATGAATAGTTTAAACTATGTCGTATATATAAGTAATAACAAGAAACCAACTGTTTCGTTAAAGTACCGATTGTGAAATTGTTTCTGTTATTATAAAATTATTCGAACCAAGCAAGGTGGATTAAATATTCCTGGAAATACATGAGAGTGTTAATATGGTAATTAACAGGTAATGTAAACTGTATGTGGTCCGACTTGAGTCCTGTACAAGACTTCTGTACAAAGTTTAAGCTAAATTTTTAAATCGTAATATTCTGAATAATTTTTTATTATTTGTGATTATACTCGATCAATAAATTATGATTGTGACTCGGAAGAAAATGAAAAATTAAAAGTCGCAATACATGTAGATTGTAGACATAAGTTCTGCGTTTCTGTAACAGTATACATATTTATTTATGTAAGTTTGCCATTTATAATAAAGTATAATAAAATGCAGAAGACGGAACTATTCATATAATTGTACAGAGTATTTAAAAACCACATATATATAGATGCAGATTACTGTTAGCAAAGTAATAAGTTACTCGCAAAATTTTGTATTATTTATATTTATCTACGAAAAAATTCCAACATCGTAATTATAGATTTTCTTCTATCGAGTACAATGAAATTATAAAAACGCAATGTTCTCAATTATAAATTTAAGACCTTGACTCTTCTATATTTACTTATTACTGTGAAAAATATTTTAATTGTTTATTTCTGAATGTTATTAACTTCCTCGAATCTTGTACGTCATTGTTAAGCAAATGCTAGAATTTAAGATAATTTAGCATTTAACCAT